TAAGAGGCCTACTTTTGCCCAGTTTCAGCCTTTGATATGTCTTCATCACTAAGCTTTATGATTTCTACCTTTTAATATAAAGTGAGAGATGTTTGACTCTTTCACTTGAAGCCATTGTAGGGTTATTAGTTGGCCTAATTCAATATTATTACGTCTCAGGGAATAGGGGGCCCTTAGGAGATGGGAGCAGGAATGAGGGGAAGAAGTAAGGGGAAACAGGAGAGGATTTGGGGAATGGCTGGTTAGTGAACCAATGAGAAGACACACAACATTTATTGATGAAGTTTGCTGTCTTATATGGGCATGGTTTGTGGCACATCAGAATAATTGCAATGGTAACATTAAAGATCACTGATCACAGATCACCTTAACAGATGTAATAATGAAAATGGTTGAAATATTGTCAGAATTACCAAAGGTGACAGAGACATGAAGTAAACTCATGCCGTTGGAAAAATAATAGCAGACTGGCTTAATGCAGGGTTGCTGCAAATGTTCAATAATTAAAAAAAAAAAAGTAGTATCTGCAAAGCCCAGAAAAGTGAAATGCAATAAAATGAAGTATGCCTGTATATCCTAATATGGGTCACGTTGGCAGTTAGGGCTGCAACTGAGAATTTTGAGGGGCAGTGCCTGTGGCTCAGTGAGTAGGGTGCTGGCCCCATATACTGAGGGTGGCAGGTTCAAACCTGGCCCTGGCCAAACTGTGATGAAAAAATAGCTGGGACTAGGTCCCAGCTACTCGGGAGGTTGAGGTAAGAGAATCACCTAAGCCCAAGAGCTGGAGGTTGCTGTGAGCCGTGACGCCACGGCACCCTACCCAGGGTGACAAAGTAAGACTCTTGTCTAAAAAAAAAAAAAAAAAAAAAAAGAATTTTGAGGGGAACCACAATTCAGTCCAAAGCAATTATTGTATATGTATTTGGCAAATTCATATGCACACACTTATACCTTCATGTGCAATATGATATCAGTAAGAAAACATAAAGTGCCTTGCCATTTTTATCTTTGATTATTGGAATATTTGGCAAGCCTTTATTTCAAGAAAATCTTAACAGTAACAGTGTAGTAAATCTTTCTAAAACTCAGACTCAACTAATGAGCATTGGCAAAGAACACAAGTTCGTATTTATTATCTTCTGTTTCTCTCAATGAGTGTATTAGCTAGTGATAATTTGATTTGTTTGCATGTATATAAACTGAATGACTTTTCTTTTTTTCAGAGTGAGACAGACATAGTCTCACTCTGTTGCCCTGAGTAGAGTGTCATGGCATCATAGCTTACAGCAACCTCAAACTCTTGGGCTCAAGAGATCCTTTTCCCTCACCCTCCCGAGTAGTTGGGACTACAGGCATCAGCCACAACGCCTGGCTAATTTTTCTCTTTTTTTTTAGTAGAGATGGGGTCTCATTCTTGCTCAAGCTTGTCTTGACCTCCTGAGCTCAAGCGGTCCACCCAGGTCAGCCTCCCAAAGTGCTAGAGTTACAGGTGTGAGCCACCGCACCCTGCCTAAACTGAATGATTTTAATAGCTGTATTCTTTAAACTTTTGGAGTCTGTTTTAGGACAAAACAAATATATATCATATAGTGGCATGAAGTAGTCAGGGAATCAATGGTCTTTTGTTTTAAAATTCCAATAAATACAGATTTTTAAGCCTACGATAGCACTAAAACACTATACATTATAATAAAAATAATTTTTTAAAATATTGCTCTGATATTCTTTTTTGACAGATGTAAATGATTAAAAGTATCTATGCTGTGAAATTGATTTTCAGCTGTGAATTGACAGTATTTCTTTGTAAATTTGGAAGTCATTTTAGACTAAAATATACTCAAAGTATTATCTAAAGCTGAAGAAAAGTATTTGCAATTTTAAAAAACTAAATCAGTTGATATTTAATATTACTAGATGTTATATTTTATGGACAATATTCTGTGGTGATTTCATTGAAGCTCTTTCACATTTAAAAAAAAGTCTTTTCCTCATAATTCTTAATTAATAATTTTTATAACTGAAATGATAATCTTTTGCTATCTCCATCTAAAAAGGATTTTCTTTGTTGTGCAAGAATCCACGTCATTTTATAGCTGGTGAACAGAAGCTCAGATCCTGTTAAAATCATATTTTTTTTCAACATTTAATTGTGATTTCAGATAACTAATTTTGTCACTTCTTTTTTGGCTAGAAACTTAATCAGATTTCTGATGAATTTACTGAAAATGTCTCTTACTGTCTAGTTTTTATATATCTGTCTATTTTTGAGACAGAGTCTCACTTCAAACTCCTGCTCAAGTGATCCTCCTGCCTCAGCCTCCTAAGTGGCTGAGACTATAGGTGCACAGTACCTGCCTGGCTAATTTTTCCTGTTTGTAGCAGAGATAAGTATCTCACTTTTGCTCAGGCTGGTCTTGAACTCCTGATTTCAAGAAATCCTTGCTTTGGCCTCCCAGAGTGCTAGGATTACAGGCATGAGCCACTGTGTCCAGCTTTACTTTTATCTTAAAAAAAATTTTTTTTAAGCTGGCCATGGTGATTCATTTCTGTAATCTCAGTGCTTAGAGTGGCTAAGGAGGGATGATCACATGAGGCAAGGAGTTTGAGGCCAGCCTGGGCAACATAGCAGGACCCCAATCTCTACAGAATAGTGGGAAAAACTACCTGGGTGTGGTGGCTTATAGCTGTAGTCCCAACTATATAAGGCAGTAGAGCCCAGGAGTTTAAGGTGGCAGTGAGCTGTGATGATGCCACCGGAGCTCTAACTTGGGTGACAGAATGAGACCCCATCTCTAAAAAAATAAACAGCTTTTTTATTTTGCTCTGTTGTAGCAAATTATAGCTACCAATCATTGTGAAAATTGTGACATATTTTCTCACAGTCTTTTTTCCTTTGCTCTTTCAGTGGTACCACTAGTTTCTGCATCTTACTTGATTCTACAACAATAGAACGCCTTGTGTGTTTTTTTTTTTTTTTTTTTTTAATGAGACAGAATCTCACTTTATCGCCCTTAGTAGAGTGCTATGACGTCACAGCTCACAGCAACCTCCAACTCCTGGGCTTAAGCGATTCTCTTGCCTCAGCCCTCTAGTAGTGGGGACTACAGGCACCTGCCAGAAAGCCCGGCTATTTTTTTGTTGCAATTTTGCTGGGGCTGGGTTTGAACCTGCCATCCTCAGTACATGGGGCTATTGCCCTATTCAGCCACAGGCTCTGCCCGAATGCCTTGTGTTTTTAAATTAAAACACATTATTTTCTTAAACTAGGAAACAATTACAATTAAAATAAGTATTTCAATTTAACCACTTATTATAATTTATATAAGTATTACCATAACTTGTGCTGTATTCATAAAATACTAAAATAAACACATTATAATGTTACATTAGGGCATATAGGAAAAAAAAAACATTGAAATCAAACTCCTTACACTGACTAGATTGGCAGTGTGTTATGTGAAAGATCAGAAATGTCATTTGTGCCTGACGTGAACCAACACAACATTAATAATGACTATAGTGACATGTAGTCCTAGCAAAACATTGAATTGTGATTCACAGAAAGGCATTTTACGTTGTTTCTTTAAAAAAATTTTTCTTATTCGGAACCTACCGAGAGGTCTCATGTCGCCTCACCCATTCCTCTTCAGTGTTAACATCTTGCCTAACTACAGTGCAGTATTGAAACCAGGAAATCCACATGGGTACACTTCATAGAGTTGATTTAGATTTTACCAGTTTTACATGCATTCATGTGTGTATATGTGCAGTTCTTTGCAATTTTGTAGATTTTTTGCAATACGCGTAGATTCATGTAACCACCACTGTTATCAAGGTATAGAACTATTCCATCACCACAGGCTTCCTTGTGCTGCCCCTTTATAATCACACACTGCTGCTTTATTTTATAACTTAATTACAATTTAAAAATATTTAGTTTCTTAGTCACACTAGTCACATGTTAATGGTCTGTAAAATGTGGCTAGTGGTTAACATATTGGACAATGAAGGCCTAGACTGTAGACGTTGTTGGGATCTCAGGGTTATGAGAATGGTTACTTTCTTCTAAGGCTCTTAACTCCCTAAAGTCTTGGGCAGCGCCTGTGGCTCAGTGAGTAGGGCGCTGGCTCCATATACTGAGGGTGGTTGGTTCAAACCCTGCCTCTGCCAAACTGCAACAAAAAAATAGCCGGGCATTGTGGCAGGTATCTATAGTCCCCGCTACTAGGGAGGCTGAGGCAGGAGAGTCACCTAGGCCCAGGAGCTGAAGGTTGCTGTGAGCTGTGACGCTACAGCACTCTACTGAGGGTGACAAAGTGAGACTCTGTCTCTAAAAAAAAAAAAAACAAAACTCCCTAAGGTCTTTCTTGGTGAATAGAATTAGGTTCAGAATAGCTGGTTTCTTCTATGATTCCTTTTCCTTCTACATTCTTTATTATTTAATTGATTTATAGGATATTCTAAACATATCCTTAAAAATATGTTGGAAAAAAGCCACCATAAGATACATTATAGAGGAGGTGTTGAAATACTCTGTTTGGCAGACCATAGATTATATTTTAAAGTAAGGTACTTGTTGGTATTTTACTTTGGATAAACACTTAGATCCTATGCAGAGATGAAGAAATGTGTTTTATTCATTTTAAAGACGGGGGATTTTAAACTAGTTTCAAATTGGAATTCAGGACTTCTGAGTACTTGTCATAATCAGATCAGTTGCTTAATACGAGATGGTTATAATGTAGATGGCTTAATGTCTTATTGTTACAGAGTACAGGCAGTAAGATAGTGCAGATGATTCATTTGAGCAGTGAAAATAAAATAATAATAATTGTGTGACATGCTTTGTCCCACGCAATCAGTTGAGATGCTGTAGAATTATCTGTGCTGTTTCCTTCCCCATCATCTTAAAATTAAAGAATTCTAGAAAACTAGGGAACTTAAGAATATATTAGGATTGCGAATGGTTTCTTGTTTAAAACCTTTTCTTTTGAATTCAGATTTACCACTTGACACTGAACTGGAAAAGGAAAATACATCTACAGTTATATTGGCTGAGATGCTTGGTGATGTGATCTGGGAGGACTTGTCTGAGTGCCTCATCAAAAACTGTTTGGTTTATTCTATTCCAACAAATAGCAGCAAGTTACAGCAATATGAAGAGGTAAAGAGTGGAGATGTCAGGGCGGTGCCTGTGGCTCAGTGGGTAGGGCGCTGGCCCCATATACCAAGGGTGGCGGATTCAAACTTGGCCCTGGCCAAACTGCAACAAAAAATAGCCGGGTGTTGTGGCAGGCGCCTGTAGTCCCAGCTGCTCGGGAGTCTGAGGCAAGAGAATCACCTATGCCTAGGAGTTGAGGGTTGCTGTGAGCTGTGAGCTGTGATGCCCGCCATAGCACTCTACCAAGGGTGGTAGGGTGAGACTCTGTCTCTAAAAAAAAAAAAAAAAAGAGTGGAGATATCACATAGGGTTTTAACACTATTCCTATTGTTGTATTTTGTTTTACCGTAGAGATCTTTTGTTTTTTAGTTACACCTTTAGGAAAATTATTAAAAGAGTAGAGGCAAATTCTCTATGACTTCAGTTTTGCACTCACTGCCTACCTCTTTCTTTGGGGAAATTTCTTTTTTTTTCTTTTTTAAAAATTTTCTTAAGTATATTTTCTTTATTCTTGTATACTTGGATCAACTATAGTAGCTATCATTTGAAATTTTACTTTTTTGCTTTTTAGTGTTTCTTTGAATGCTAAAATAAATATCTTTATTTTAAAGGTCTTTGCACCTTAGTAGAGTCAGAAATTTCTGTTGAAGGTATTCTTTCAAATGAATTTGAGGCTAAAAACATGTGTTATATTTTTATAACTAGTAACTGATGATTTGTTCTAAACTTCAAATAATCCGTTTGGGCTCAGTGGTGGCTCATGCCTGTTATGCTAGCACTCTGGGAGGCCAAGGTGGTGGATCAGCTGAGCTCTGGAGTTCAAGACCAGCCTGAGCAAGAACAAGATACTCCCACACCTCTGTCTCTACTAAAAATAGAAAATAATCAGCCAGGTGTCATGGCGGTGCCTATAGTTCCAGTTACTCAGGAGGCTGAGGCAAAAGGATCTCTTGGGCCCAAGAGTTTGAGGTTGCTGTGAGCTGTGATGCCATGGCACTCTACTCAGGGTGACAGGGTTGAGACTTTGTCTGAAAAACAAAAATAAAACAAAAACCGATTTGGTCCTCCTTCTTTTTCAGACATTGGATTTAAAATTTTAATTTTGAAATGGAACATATTATATATATAATTCTTTATTTTTATTGTGTTTCTCAGATCATAGAATCCACTGAAGAATTTGAAAATGCCTTAAAGGAGATGCGGTTTTTAAAAGGAGATACTACAGATTTGCTGAAATACGCCCGTAATATCAATTCTCATTTTGCTAACAAGAAGTGCCAGGATGTGATTGTAGCAGCCAGAAACCTAATGACCTCTGAAATTCACAACACTGTAAAGGTACAAGGGTTTACATTGTATTTAGGAAGCTGCTCATTTTTGAGATGTCTGTGGTAAAGTGGAAGAGAGCCTGGCAGTTGGTTGTTCAGCTCGCTGAGTTATTAATCTCTTGAACATTAGTTTTGTGTTCTTTAAAAAGTGGTCCTATTTTCTACATCTTTCATTTATAAATTGAAAAAGTCTACCTAAGTAAAATAGATTACTATTGTTGAAATGAGGCAATAGATTATTCTCATCTTTATTATTTGAGGCTTTTGTTTGTACATAATTCTATGATAGGTAAACTTGAACTTCATTATGTCTAGAGAATATATCCTGTTGTAAAAATGTTCACTTCATCTATTAGGCTGTTAGAAGGACTTGTTTTGAAGCTAATAGTAAAACCAGTAAACGAAAAGGGTATAAATAATTATCTGTAAAGCAAAAGGACTAATATGCATTGAGGATAATTTGTCCTTTTGACTTTGGATAATTCTGTCCATTTTAAAATTTTGTTCATAGTTTCATATTTCAGTTTTCATACATAAAGTAATTAATGCACCTTGTATTTAATAAATGCAAGGTATTACTTAGAATAAAGCAAAACATAGACTAAAGCAATCTCTTGATCAAAGGTTCCTCAGCCATTTTTCTGCTCTCACTGAGGGGACTAGGCTCTTCCTCTTAATTTCTTCTTCTGCCGTATCCCATTTTCCTTGGGGTATCCCATTATTGTGTCCACTTTAACAGAATACTTAACGATTTGAAGTACACAGATTTTAACATATGTTGAGGTAATTTTAGATTGTTGAGGGAGATGATGTCTAATTGTGCCAGGAACTGTGCTATGGTTTCTTTTTTTTTTTTTTGAGACAGAGCCTCAAGCTGTCCCCCTGGGTAGAATGCCGTGGCGTCAGAGCTCACAGCAACCTCCAACTCCTGGGCTCAAGCGAGTCTCCTGCCTCAGCTTCCCAAGTAGCTGGGACCACAGGTGCCCACTACAACACCCGGCTATTTTTTGCTTGCAGCCATCATTGTTGTTTGGCGGGTCCAGGCTGGATTCAAACCCGCCACCTTAGGTGTATGTGGCTGTGCTTAGCCGCTTGAGCCACAGATGCCGAGCCTATGGTTTCTTTTAACATAAATACCACTTGATAATGTCACTCTTCTACATAAAATCCAGTGGTTTCAGGTCTCAATTAAAGAAAGATCCAATAGTATCACAGTGGCCTACAAGGCCTTATCTAATCTTCTTCCCATTACTCTCTGACTCTGTCTCCTATTGAATTCTTCTTTCACTGTTCAGCCACCCTCGACATAACTCAGTGTTATGCTTTGAATATGCCAGGCCTACTGGTCACAGGCCTTCCTTGCTTTATTTTTCTTTATGTAACTTATCATCAACCAAAATTTTGTATTAATTATTTATTATTTCTCCTCTGTAGAAAGTAAGCTCCATGGAAGTTTTTTTTTTTTTTTTTTTTTTGGGTGGGGGGACTGTTACTTGTTACTACCATGTAGTCAATGCTTAGGTACTTACTGAGTACCTTTTGTAAATGAGTTAATATAAGGGGGCTGTCCAGAAGGTATCCAGCCACATAATAATAAAAATGAGGTGGCTCCCATAGCTCAGTGGGTAGGGCACTGGCCACATACACCGCAGCTGGCGGGTTCGAACCCAGCCTGGGCCAGCTAAAACATGAATGACAATTGCAACAAAAAAAATAGGTGGGAGTTGTAGCGGGCACCTGTAGTCCCAGCTACTTGGGTGACTGAGACAAGAGAATTGCGTAAGCCCAAGAGTTTGAGGTTGCTGTGAGCTGTTATGCCATGGCACTCTACCTAGGGTGACAGATTGAGACTGTCTCAAAAAAAGCAAAAAAAAAGAAAGAAAGGAAGATGAGAGCCCTACATGGCTGTCTACTTTCCAGACAGCCCTTGTAGAGTTCACTTACTTTTGGCACAACTCCTTGATAGAATCAATATTGTTACTGATTCCTGTGTGACTCTGGGCTTAATCTTTTTCACCTTATTTTGAACCTTATTTTCCTCTTGTTTACTATGAGAGAATTGAAGTAGACAAATCTCTGAGCTCCCTGTTCAGGTAGTTCTGACATTCTCTAAAACTGCATTTTTCCTGAGAACCCAAATCCTAATGTGGCTTCCTCTAGGTGAGGGCTTGTGGGCAGTGGTCCTGTTCACATTTCGGGGAGGTAATTCTTCTCTGTGGGGGGCTGTCTGTGGATCGCTTAGCAGCATCTCTAGCCTGTAGCCACTGGATGTCAAGAGCACCTGTCTCAATTTTGATAATCAAAAACAACTTTAAGCATTGCCAAATGTCCCCTGGATGACAAAATTGTAGTTGAGAACCCTGGTCTAGAGTCTAACCTTGTTCTTTCTCTTAGAAATTAGGCCATGGAATTAGATCTTCTAAACTGCCCAACTTTGGAAAGCACACCTTCCCTTTTCTGGAAACCATTTCAGCTTTATCACTTTTCATAGTCTTCATGCCAGTTCTCTTTTTTTCCTCTATGTGTAATCACTGTTTTCCTAGAAATACATAAAGTCATAGTTTATTGTTATTTGTTTTGTTTTTACTTTTTGATTTGAAAGAAAATATATTAGATTTTACATTGTTTCAACTTAGTTTCCTTTTTCTTCCTCATGAAGTCACTTTTTTGAATCATATGTATTCTGGGCCCACTAATTTTCAGGCAAACATTAGCATTTTTTAATCATCTCTTAACTTACGTTTTTTATCAATATTCTTAGCCATAATTTTTGATTATTTGGTCCCTGACATTTGTATTCTCATTTAAATGTCATAACCACTCCGTGAAATAGACATTATTTTGCCACTTTACAGGTCAGGAAACCAAGTCTGCTGACTTAAACGTTAGACTCTGAACCGTTCCCAACAGAAATTTTCTGTAGAGATCTAGGATTTGCAAAGTAGAGCTGCTGAGATTCTGGCAGTGGGAGTCAGGAGCTGACTGCTCCTACCTGCTTAATCTTACCCTTTTTTTTTTTTTTTTTTTTTTACCCTGAGGCATCCTTCAGAAGCAAGATTTGAAAGCCGTTATTAGTGCAATTTATTTTACAATGAGAAAAATGAAATCTAGAAAGGTTAAATGTTAGGGTAAAAAAGAAACCACTGTTTCCATATTTGTGGTCTACTATTCTTTCATTTAGTCCCAGCCAAGCTTGGGAATTTTCATTCTTTATAAATGTTAGGGAGACTTTTTTGGTTTGGGCTTGAAGTTCTTTTTTATAAAGGGAGGGTATGTTGTTCCAAATGAATTATTTCTTAGACTAAGCCAACACATGAGCCTGGTGTAAAATAATTTGTTTAATAATCTTGACAGTAGAGCACAAAAATATACTGTTGTTATAAGCTAGACTGAGAAGGTGACTTTTTTGTTTGTTTGATTTTAAGAGAGTCTTGCTCTACCACCCAAGCCAGGGTGCCGCGTTGTGATCATAGCTGACTGCAGCCTTGAATTGCTGAGCTTTAGTGATCCCACCATAGCCTCCTAATAACTGGGACTACAGGCCGATGCCATCACACCTAGCTTTTTTTCTTCTTTTCTTTTTTTTTAGAGACAGGGTCTTGCTGTGTTACCAGGGTCTGGCTAGACCAGTCTTGAGCTCAAACTCTTGGCCTCAACTGATCCTCTTGCCTCAGCCTCCTGGGTAGCTGAGATTACAAGTGTGAGCCACCTCCCTTAGCTCTGAAACATGATTTTTGAAGGTCTTTTCATTTACTTGAAATCTTAGGCCAGTTATATAGCTTTGCTATTTAAACCAAGATTAAAAGTGTTTTGAAGAATTTCATAGTAAAGGGAATGCTTATTTCTTATGACACGCTTTCATCCAAGACAGAACAATGAGTAAAATACTGTCTTATTTACTTGAATCTTTTAATTATTCTGTAGAGCTTTGTCATCATGGAAACATCTAGCATCTTATTCCTCATTGTATGCTTAAATTTGAATTATTCTGAAAATATTACATTTGCTATGTTTCTGTGTTTGAATCTTAGATTACTTCTGACTCGAGGGTAGGTATACCAGACTTACCCATTCCCGATGAGGATAACAAGCTAAAAGTACAGAAAATATCTAAAACTCAGTACAATGAAGTGGTGAATTTAGAACCTGAAAGTACATTGGACCGACATTCCTTTTCTTTGCCAACATGCCGCATCAGTGAATCTGTGAAGAAATTAATGGAACTTGCCTATCAGACTTTATTAGAGGCAACGACCAGTAGTGATCAATGGTATGAATTTCTAATTGTCTGAAAATGGCAGTGACTCAGTTAAATGCTTATCTGACTAGACATTTATTAAGAAAATTAGCTGGAATTCTTTGGGTTTTCTTACCCTATTATCATAATTTTTTTTTCCCTAGAAAAATGCAGTGTGCCACACAGATTTATATTGATCTCTGTTTAAATTGGTTTCTTTGACATTAAAAATTGTTAATCACTTTTAATAAAATGCTCCTTAAGTTTTGTTTAATTTTTACGTGTTGGAATTGAATGAAATTATATGAGAAAGCACATGCAAAGAACTTAGAATACTACTTGGAAAATGGTTAATATTCAAATGTTTATTATAATTATTTTTTGTGGAGACGGGTCTCAGTGTATTGCTCAGGTATTGAACTCCTGGCTTTAAGCCATCCTCCTCCCTTGGCTTCCTAAAGCACAGGGATTATAGGAATGAACCACCACACTTTGGCCTAGAATGTTCCTTATTATTGGTGGCTGGAGGAATAGTCATAGTCATATCATCATAGTCATATCATCTGCTCCAGCTGGCTTTGCCCCTTTAGCTGTAGCTCTTCTTACCTTTTGAAATCAGGCCCTAATTAATTTCCATTTTAAATGTTTATCTTTAAAGCAATAATAGTTTGTTAGGCAGTCAAAGGTAGGAGGAAAAGAATGGGACTTGCCAAAGGTTTGGCTTCACCCTTTCCAGGTGACTAATCTACATTGCATTCAAGTTACCTCAAACTCCATTCCATATCTTGTACTGAATCTCTTTTTGTTTAATAAGCTCCTTTCCTTCTCTTAGACTGTATTGAGAGGGAAATGGTAGAGTGTGGCCCAAGCTGATTGCAGAGCAGGTTTACAAAAGCCTCTTTCGTTTCAATCGGTGTTCAGTTTTATACTTATCTTCAGAGAAAAAAACAACTTCAGTTAGGGCTTGGCTTAATCAAAGTGCACCTTCAGATGGGCTTCCAGAGTTTCAGTTTTATTTCCGGGCAAACAAACCCCTTTATTTTATTCTGCTCTGCAAAGAACATATTTACCAAGATACTTCTATGGCTTTAATGACTCATATTCACAAGTCCACCCACGGTTAATTATTTTTCTTTACAAGAAAAATAAATCCTTATAAAGGAAGCATATAATCCTTTCACAAAATGAATATAAAAATGACTGTTTCTTAACATGGCATTCTCCTGAAATACACTGGAGCCGAAGTTAGAGATATAGGGCAGTGCTGCTTAAATTTTCAAGAATGCAGAACTCCAAACAATATTCGTATATTGAATATCTAATGGATATTATTTCC